CATCGCCATTGACATTGCACTAATAATGCGCTTCTAATTAACGCGCACCCCCTCGGCCGTATGTTCTAATTATTCATCTTTGAATAATGAATATGTGCCATTAAAAGTCCTTGAATAGCGTATGTATTGTACATGAAATATTTCATACTTTTTGAAATTGTTCAAACATTTTCACTGACTCCGGATCACCTTTCACTGGTGGTACAGGCTATTAATAAAATAATAATAAAATAATAATAATAAATAATAATTAACAATAATAATAATAATAAATAATAATAGTTATCTTACAGTGAGTTTCCCCCGGTAGTTGCTCCTGCTATAAGTGTCAGAGTAAGAGGAATGAGTTGGTTTGGGTCTGGACTGATGGTGGGCTGGGAGTGACACTGGATAGTTATTGTTAGCTTGCTCAATGTGGAGGTACTGGCGCTGTATGTCAAACCGAAGACGGTTTTCATCCAGTGAAGTATACCTAAGGAGGAGGAGAGGGAGTGTAAAGTACATCTAATAGAGGGAAGGAGGGAGTGTCTAATGAAGGGAAGGAGGGAGTGTCTAATGGAGGGAAGGAGGGAGTGTAAAGTATATCTAATGGAGGGAAGGAGGGAGTGTCTAATAGAGGGAAGGAGGGGAGGGTTCATTAACAGATAAAGGACCAATCAAACTAAGAATGGGACACTTAAGGAGGCCATAGGCTAAATACGAGTGACCAAAAGTCTCCTAAACTCCCTCTAGATATGACAGTGTACATGTATATATTCAAAATGGCGGGTTTACCCTGTAGTCTCGTGATTGTCTATTTCATGTACTTCATGGTCAACGACCACCACCGGACCAGAGGGTTCCTTAACCACAGGGAAGGACGAGAAACCCTCTGGATAGGAGGTCCTCTTGACAGGACTGATGTAAGAGTCCCTGGGAGGGTAGCCATGTTGAAATCCTTCCTCCACGGATGGACTGGTTGGTTCATAAGGCTCTGACAGCTAAAGGTATGTAAAACAGGGATCAGTATACAGGGATATACAGGGGTACACAGGGATATACAGGAATATACAGGGATATAAGTAGTGCAGAGCTGTTTACTTGTGATTGCACAGTAGTCCCATTCCCAGTGTCATCATTATTAGCATCACTAGCTGGATCTGATGTTGAACCAGTTGTTGACATGGCGGCCATTTTAGACTTAACATAAGACATATCAGACTGGGTCCTTTGCAGTGCCAGTGGAGGAGAAGGAGGAGGAACTTCAGTTACTTCTGATTCATCCTCATCTTCTTCATCTTCATCATCATCATCATCTTCATTATCTACACATGTACATTACGACAACAGGAGACACAGGTGTATGTGTGTGCATTAATTAGAAATAATTATACTGACCACTGTCCTCTTGGACTGTTAATGGCTCACCAAAAGTGAAATGCTACAGAGAAAGTGACATTGTCATGAAGCAGCCA